ATGCTGTGTTTGCTCTTTGCTGCTGCTCCCTTGGATTTGCAAAATTACAACAACAACAACAACACCCCGGACTTAACAATTGTCATCGATAAGAAAGACAAAAAAAAAGTCTGGATAGGGGATGCGGCAGTGCCTGGAGACAGCAGAAGAGAAGAGAAAGAACTGGAGAAGATCACAAAATACAAAATACCTACAAATAGAAATAGAACGACTATGGCAAAGGCAAGCAAGGGTGGTACCAATAGTCACAGGCGCCTTGGGTACTGTCCCAAAACAACTGGAGCACCACTTGAACACCATCAGTGACATTGACACATTTGCCATCGGTCAATTGCAGAAGGCAGCTTTGCTTGGAACAGCTTCCATCCTGCGGCGATCTCCGTCTATCCGACCTCTGTCTGTCCCAGGTCCTTGATCAGGACTTGATAGGTAGACAAAAATGCCAAACCGCGTCTGAACATCCGGCTGACTGTGCAATAAATAATAATGATGATGATAATGATGTAAGCATCACCTCTGACCCAAATAACCAAGTTAGAAGGGACCTTGGAGGTCTTCTAGTCCAGCCCCCTGCTCAAGTAGGAGATTCTATATCATTTGCAAACAAATGGCTGTCCAATCTCTTCTTAAAACCCTCCATGGAGCATTCACAACTTCTGGAGGCAATTCGCTCCACTGATTAATTGTTCTAACTGTCAGGAAATTCCTCCTTAGTTCTAAGTTGTTTCTCTCCTTGATTAGTTTCCATCCGTTGCTTCTTGTCCTGCCTCTCAGGGGCTTTGGAGAATAGCTTGACTCCCTCTTCTTTGGGGCGACCCCTGAGATATTGAAACACTGCTATCCTGTCTCCCCTAGTCCTTCTTTTCATCAGACTAGACATACCCAATTCCAGCAAATGTTCGTCATATGTTTCAGCCTCTAGTTCCCTAATCATCTTGGTTGCTCTTCTCTGCACTCTTTCCAGAGTCACAACGTCTTTTTTTATAGATGTTCATCACCGAATTTTTTGCGGGGGGGAATGAAAGAGTATAAATAACTGAACAGAGTCTGAATGTGCATTTTTTGGGGGTGGAAGAGAAGAGACCCTCCTGGGGGAAAAAAAACCAAACTCCTTTGCTGTAGCATCAGGTCTGCTCTTCCCCTTCAACCTGTTGGAGAGACACCTCCGCATGTTTCCAGCTCTTGTAATTAGCCTCGAGAAAAAGACAGGACCGTGTTGATGGGATTAAAAAGCTCTTTTCTTGACACCCTTTGAGTGAGAGCAGCCACGGCGGCCTCCTTGCCCATCAAATCTTGAAGGAAAGAATGATGACACCTTCACGGCAGACAACGGCGTGTTGCAACTGGCCTCTTTCGGAGTGCAGATAGAGCCCAACTTAGCAGATCACGCTTGGAGACGCCGAGCCAAGTGCTACCAACCGAAGGCCAAGGAGGTTGGTTGCTGAAAAACATCCCCTGGTTGTGAAAGCTCCATAGCAAGATTGAAATGTTTTTGGGGGGTGGATGGGTGGGTGGGGGACATTTAGGACCTCTCCGCTTTGATGGTCTGAAAGCTTAGGTGGTTCCATCAAACCATAATTGCTCCTGGGGACTTAAGGGTTCATCTGGCTGCAATTCTAGACTTACCTCTGAACTGCTACCTTCTGATCACCTTTCTTGACACTCAAGTCATACGGGGCTCTTGAAGTCATGAAGGCCAACTAACTCTTCCGGGTGCAGGAATCAAACCAAAGCGTCCAGGACAGATAACTCTGCCCAAAATGTGTCCCGAGGAATTGTCAAACGGCTTTTCCCGTTGGGAAGTTTTCTAACGTGTGTTGGGAATCTGCCTTCTCGCAACTAAAGGCCGCTGCTCCGTATCCCAGGAAAGCGTCTTGCAGATTGCTTCTGGAATGACGTGCCAATAAGGTATTTCCAAAGATCTGCAATGTCCCCCTTGGCTGTCTCTTTTCAAAGCCATTGCCCTTCCCATCTCTGGTTCACACACCTGCCATTCAATGGGAGCTGACCTGTGACCGGTAACTTGAACTACCCACATGTTGCTGACCCAGTCGAGAGAAAGTAGACATTCTCCAGTGTCCCAGTTAAAGGTCTGAATTGTGAAAGAAAAAGGAAGGAAAGAAAGAAAAAAGAAAGAAAGAAAGAAAGAAAGGAAGGAAGGAAGGAAGGAAGGAAGGAAGGAAGGAAGGAAGGAAGGAAGGAAGGAAGGAAGGAAAAATGGATGGATAGATTGGAAAGGGAGGGAGGGAGGGAGGATGAAAGGAAGGAAGGAAGGAAGAAAGGAAGGAAGGAAGGAAACCCAAGGAAACCAACCCTGTTTTTCATTTCATTTTAAACAGAACTTTTTTAACTCTTAAAATTAAAGACCCACTAGACTGCCAGCAATGCTAATTCCATGGGTCCCCCACCCTGCCCGAGATCCGTCCCCGGTCCAGATCGCTCCGGTGCTGGAGAGACAGATCCGCTGGGCCCACGAATAAAAACCATGTTGTCCCGGGGAAAGAAGCAAAAATGCGAAACGGCGGCGAGCACCTGGAGCGCCCAGGCTCATAATAAGCCCGTCTGCAGGGGTTTTTGGGGGGCTAACGCCACCTTTTCTTCCTTGTCACTTTTATTTCCCTCCCCACCCCCCCAGCTCTCTTCTGTGTGCGCGACCTATTGAACTTTGGTAATTCCTGGGAATCTCCTGCCCTGAACGACAGGGCGACAGAGGCTCTCAAATTAAATTCCATCACCACCACCCCCAAAAAATACAACCCCACCATCTGAGATAAACCCCAGCCAAAGGAATCTCTGGAATAAAGCCTCTGGAATGCAGTTGGGCCCAACGTCCTCGTCCTCGTTGCAGAATTCCACTTCTCAACTCGGCTTTGGAGGTTTTACGATGCATTCCCAGCCTCTCTTCTCGCTCTTTCCCCTGGGGGCATAAGGGGTTTTTTTCTTTTTCCTTCTTCTTTTGATACTCTCAGAGGACACAAACGTGGCGAGAAACATGCTACCTCTCACCCATTCTGAAGGCTGCTCTGTTTTTTGGAAAGAAAGGAATGTGTGATAGATTGTCTCCCCCCAAAATGGCTGGTTGGGGGGGGGGATCTTTCTCATCAATTCTACCATGTCCCGCGGGCAGGGTCTCAAAGGGAAGCCCACCGTTTGGAGGGTAAGGTTTGGTTTGGGGACCAATGTCGGAGTCTTCATTCCCTACCCCCCAAAATATGGTTGGAGGCAGGAACAGGACAAACCTAAGTTTTATTTCCGTTTGCCTTTAAGTGTGAGAAAAAAATGAAATGCAGGTAGCATGATCACTGTTTCTTCTCTCTCCTGTCAAAAATTAAATCAAATCACAAGGTAATGGGCCACCTCTATACCTGTCACCTTCCTTCTCTTTCTTTCTTTCTTTCTTTCTTTCTTTCTTTCTTTCTTTCTTTCT